TATATATATATATATATATATATATATATAGATATATAATAACAAAAACGCCGCGGCATCTTTTTGGTTGACACGGTTATATTAATTTAAAACGGTAACGAATTTACAATTGGTGATTAGACTGCCAATTGATATTCGAAGGAGTCACCCAGATGGCAGATGAATGAATAATTTCAATACAAAAAGAATATTATATTTTTAGCATTATTTTTAAATAATTCACATTATTTTATATAAGCGTGAAATGGATAAATAATTGATTTAACACTTTTTTTTTTCGTAAATAATATAATTAAAAACGTTGACATGAAATTGTGCGAGAATTACCTGTGAAAATTGGATACTGCTCCTGTCACATTTTTTTGTATGCTAAGTTCATTATGTGAAAAAATACATGAAAAAACCTTTAGGCAAAATTTACACCATTACTAAATTAAAAAAAAAAAAATAATTTAACCCCTAAAATTAGGAGCATTAAATTATTGATACCCCGGGTTAAATTTTCGAGAACGCCAGTCTCGCAAATTTAAACTATCATATTGATAGTTTTAAATTTGCTTAGGACACGAGGGTAATTGCATCAACTTGATTCGTGGAGTTAACTATTATAAAATTAGGGACATACTTACAACAAACCTAAATAACAAATTTCATGAATTTAATAAACTAATTAAAAGTTTGTGGAGTAATACTTTGGAGGATAATTTAAATCAATATTCTATGTAACTTTTTAAAATTTTATTTTTTTCACGATTCATAGAATAAATTATTTCTGCTATTTCTACTTTTGCTACACAATTTTTTATAAAATTATAGGAGTTGTTATTATTCCGCTCTATTTCAGAACACAGAAGACATTTCTTAGATTTTTAAAATTTGTCTGATGAAAAAAAGTTTGCACTAAATTGATAAAAAATTTGACTTGTACAGAGAAAATATGTCGATCAAGAAATTTAGAATAAAAAACAAACATGGGATTGTTGATTTAAAGTAATATAAAATGCATCATAAATATCATCGTATTTACCCGGATGTATGTTTATACAAATAGAGTGGGCAAAAAGAACAAGTGCTACGAGTAATGGAAAATCGAGCACTTTCCACAAATCAATACTAAAGTTTATTACGTCGGCGACCGGGAAAGGTTCAACCGGCTCCCAGACAATACTTTTTTAATAACAATTCAAATTTTCCACGCTGTGGACATAATCCACGTATTTTAATCCTCAAAAGTTTATCTTTAATCATTTCCAATAAAACTATCAAGGTTCATTTCGCTTAACATAAAACAAACCAAGCTTACCTTAATAACAGGGTCTCTATTGCAGAAAATTTAACTCTAGTATAACATCATCAAAGGGACTTTTCAAATTCTACAAGCTTACCTGCAGAATAAAATTTCGATTTAATTTAACGGGTAAAATTACCGCGACAGTGAAATACATCCAGTCAATTTTACAAAGGTCATATAATTCAAAAGTCAATTGTACTCCGCGATATTTTCTATTATTTCATAAAATTTTTTCCAACCAGTACTTTTCTTTTTTTCTAAAAAAAAAACGCTTTGCTTCAAAAACTAATTCTAGTAATTTTATTAATTAACTCATAAAAAGAGATTACCCGTGTATTTTTATGCAAATAAATGAATGATAGTATTAATATTATTAAAAAGTAAAGTCGAATAAATTTAAACGCGAAATAAAACCGATAAAAATGTAAATCCTCGAATTAATTTATATTTTTACTTTATTTCTTCATCTCTTGCTTCTTTTTCATCTTACTTGATTCTTCGTGATAAAAGTTAATAAAATAAATTATTAAAACGGGGAATAAATTCAAAGTAATTTTACTATCACTTATTAATTAAATCAACTACTTCATTCTACATAGTTGTCATTGTGTAATTATATATTAATCTCCGGAATTAATGTTTAATAACAAGGAACTCAGGATAAATATCTTTTTCTATTTATATATTTATAAAATGTTTGAATGCGACTTGATGATGAAAAAGTGGGGACTAAACGCGGTAAATACGAGTGCGAGACCATAACATGACTCAGTTGCTCTTACTCGGCAATACCGCGGTTTACTACCTCCCGAGGCATTATTACTTATATTATTATATTATAACACATATATATAGACATATAACGCATAACATTGTACACAATGATATAACGGTATAATAGTGAAATAAAGTGACACCGGTATATATACATGTATATAATATCGATTCCGAAACTTCTGTTGGTTTATCTTTTTATAAATTGCGCGTTGCAATTTATTTTTTCCAGTTGGCTGCTCGATTTTCGCGTTAATCGTTACTCGTTATTAATTATTGCATAAGCCAAGTTGTTCAAAAGTAGACTAATTAAATCTCGGCACAATATACTTTATTTTATATTTATAAACTGGAAGAAATATTAATTTAATTAACAGTGCGATAATAGTGTGGATAATCTCAAAGGTTTGTATTAAATTTTATTCTTTTTGTAATTGTAATTATAGTTTTACTATTTCTATTATTTAGTTTTTTTTTTTTCTGTAAAGTGAAATTCAATTTACTTTACGCGGGAGAATAAATTTCATTTTTTCTGCTACGTCAACCTTGTCTCCTGACTTTAATCTCGGTAACAAAAAAACGTCAACTAAAATCCTTTTATGTATTTACTTTGTGTTAATTAAATATATTATTTTGTTCGAGCTAAATAATTATTTGTGAGTAAATATTTAATAATTATTTATTTTATGATATCATGTAATTTTAAGGATGTCATTAAAAATAATAATAATTTTTTAATACTGAAGCCTTCCCAATCCCTTAATTTGATGTTATCATTATTAAAAATTTTAATTATACCTTCATATCAACAATTTTTGCCATTTTGGTGATTTTTGTTAAATTATAAATAAAAGTTATAATTTAAATTTACTGAAAGGTACGAAAACAACTTTGAAAAATTATTGAGATCCGACCAAGCCAGGAGTCAAACCTGGACCTCTACGATTATATGTCTATTATTTAAACTACCGGATTTCAGGTGCGATTTTTTTAGACTTTTCAGTGAATTTACATTATAATTTTAATTTAAATTTAACAAAAATCACCAAAATGGCAAAAATTGTTGCTAAAAAGTTATGATTAAAATTTTAAATGAAGATAGCTTCAATATAAAAGATTGGAAAGGCTTTAATACTGTAAAAAATAATGATAATAATTTTGGTTAAATTGTTATTATTATTGCTGTTGTCTTAAAATATTAATTAAATTTAATGATAAATAATTAAAAAATTTCATTAACTTGTTATCACTATCACTGCGCGTAAAAGAAGAAAGATTGTCGAGTCCTTGACTTTCGTTTTTCAAACAGTTATGTGAATCTAGTTCTCCTTGTCCCTGATACTTATGTAAATTATAAAAAAATTCAAATAATTCTTGTTCAACAAGAAAAAAACATAAAATAAATACAATGCGTTTCATTGATTCTTTACGGTCGGAAATTTTACAGAAAATGGAAACATCAAATTTTGGAAATCTGTGAGTAAGGAAATCAATAAATGAAAAATATGGAAAAATAAGATTTCAGAAATAATAAAAAAATGATGTGTCTTATTGAGGATACTTTGCAATATCGATTAGTTAAAAAATAGCAATGAAAAAATGTAGTCATCAAAATAATTAGAATTATTTTAAAAAAGATAAGCGTAAAATTATAAAATCAAAAAAAAAAGATTTCCGTGAAATTAGACGCATCAGAATATAAACATCTAAAATGACTGATATTTAAAAAAAAAGAAAAGAATAAATTCAGACAAGTCGAAAAAAAGACAATTAAAAATTTAGAAACATAAAAAAATAGACAATCATTAATATTCGTAAACTTAAAATATGGAAATCTGTAAATACGGATAAATATAAATTCTGATAATTTATAAGAAAGACAATTGTAAACGTAGTCATCATACGAATTGAGAGCGAAGGAATTTAAAATACAAAATATAACAGAGAGGAGATATATTTTCCAGTGACCGCTGCTCCGGGAAGTTGTCAAGTTGTCGGCGACAGATATCCCTACAATTAACAGCTCCTGTGACTGCTGCTCCAGGAAGTTGTGCAGTTATTTGCGACGTTGTGTCCTGGATTTTTTAAAAATATAAAGATTTATCTCCCGATACTGGTATTAAATATTTTTAAAGGCTGATAACTGCCACCAGCTCTTGTGACCGCTTCTCCAGGAACTATTGAAGTTGTCGACAACAGATTTCCCTATAATTTTTATAAAAAACCAAGATTTATGTTTAGATCTTTTTTCATAATCTTATCCAATTATTTTCTAATTCGTGAATATTTTTTTTCTAAATTTTTATCATTCATTTGTTTATTTAATTATAAACAAATAGTTGTGATATTTTTTATTGGTTATAATAATTTGTTATCCATAAGTCGATGGTGATGGATCGTAAGTCTAAATATATTGGTGACAGAATGAGGGTTTGATGCGTTCGGATTAAGCGCACCACCACCCCGGGGCGCTATCGCTATTTAATTTT